AGTTGAAAACTGCGTCATTAGGGTGCTCGTATATGATTCGAAGTCATGTGGTTGTTGTCGCAGTTGTGGTTGTGATACCAGGTTGCATATGGTATTCAACGGGACGTCAGCTAATTTTAAGTGATCAAACCAATCTAACCCGAGCAAATTTAGATCAGCTGGGGTTATGTAGCATACCCCAACAAATGCCAAATCACGGAAGGTAACTGTACATTCCATTTTTCCTAGCAGGTGAAGGTAATTACCACAGGCAGTACGAGGCTTTTGCGTTGTATGCTGCAAGTTTGGGCTGCCCATTTTGATCCAAGTCTTACGAGAGAGGATAGTGACATCTGATGCTGTATCTATTTGCAATTTAGATGAATGCCCATTAATGTTAACAGTAATAAATTTTCTCTGACTTGGTGATGAGCTTTGACACGAAGATACTAGGCTCAATGAACTGGTGCGGGATCTAGGACAGGTCTTGTTGGTATTTCTTGATTGACTTGGAGTCTTCTTCCACAGACAAAACCCATCCTTATGACCGATAACCTTACACTTCTTGCATCGATGTTGTTTAAATGGGCAGTTTCGAACGTAGTGCCATGCACCACATTGCCAGCAAGGAGCAGGAGGAGTTGCTTTAGTCTGTCGTCTAGAGCTGGAGTGAGATGGACTGGATGAAGCGGGGACGTGTTTGTTTTTGTGAGGTGTCTGTTGCACCGCTCGTACTTCAAATCGGCTAGAACCACCACTCTGGACCATAGAAGTGTCTCGTTGAAGATTAATGAGACGTTGATATTCATTAGCTATATCACTCAGGGTGAGTTTCGGTTCTTGATCCAAACGACTTAGTAGCCTTGTTCGTAAGTCACTGAACTTTTGGTGCTGTAGGCTGCAAATAAGGATCAGGGCTTTAAACTGATCTTCAGTCAAGGACTTTAACCGGAAGCGTTCGCATTCACGGTTGACGACGCCCACATGCGTAAGAAAATCATCATCTTCGTTCATAGTTAGCTTCAAGCAACGATAACGAGTATTAAACAGTGACGAGTTATCGCCAAAATGTTGGATTAATGTTTGAACTGTGTCTGCAAATGATCGGTCACGTGGGTTCAACGGCAAGATCAGATTGCAATACTTGTCCAGCTCATTTGCACCCAGTTTACGAAGTAGCAGCCGCACTTTCCAAGCATCATCTTGATTGGCGAAATCAAATTTAAATAGATCTTCATAACGCCTGAACCACATTTCAAAAGTAACATTAGAATCAGGATCGTAATGAAATTCAGCTATGCTATTTGCGATGCCATCTACTGATGGTGCTGTGGTTGAACTAGACGTGCTTGGCTGTAAGAGAGGCGTAACCTTGGTCTCCATTAACATTTGCATCAATTTTAGCTGCTGCTCAAGTAACAGTTCAAGTTTGGTAGGGTCCATAATCGAAAAACCACCGTCGCCAATTTGTTATGTTTCGTTATTGCTTGAATGCGATTACTGATGCGTCTTACTCGAAACGGAACGAAGGATCAATGATTCAGCGACTCGATAGACTATTCTGGTCCGTTGTCTTCGACTCAGCTAACTCGATCAAGAAGTCTGGGTAAGGTGTAGAAAGTGTATTCTACAGACAAACAGCAGATAACAAGTCAGGCAGGCAGATCAGATCAAGCATACAAGTCAAGCGTATTTATACAATTATTTACAATCGATATTGTCATAGAAAATTTTTAAACATTAATCAATGAGTTCATTAATTGACCTATTTGCGCATTTAATCGATAGTTCATCAATTGACCCCAATAAAAATATCTAACATTTGATCGATAAGATAAAATTTAAAATATGAGTTTGGGGATCTATCGTCCCCAACAAATTTACATAGCTTAAACTTATAATCAGTTACTTTGATACTTGATATAGTGATTCGTTGTAATTGTTCAAAGCTTTATGTTAACCTTGTTTTACTTTATCCACTACCATAAATTGGAGTAGACTTAATTGAGAATAAACTTGTCTCATAGAAAACTGTTGAAAGAAATTTATAACCTTGATTTCTAGTAGTGAATTTATTTAGTATGATAATTATTCATTCATAAGTATTTGGATATATTTATGATAAATATCACAAGGGGAAGCCTGAAAGCACTGGAGAGCCGTTTCGTCCTATTGTGGAAAGTCTCAGCAGTGAGCATCTACAATCCCACCTCGCGTTTTCCATAATGGTCTAGCTTCAATTGACTCATGATCTTAACTATTAAAATCACTATAATATTCACAAAACTCCTTCTGATATTAATCAACGTATGCTCACTAGTGACTGACTTCAAGAGGTATATAATGAAGTTCTAGTGAGAAGTAGTGATCAGTAGAGTTCAATCGTATCTGTTGTGAGATAGTAACCCACTGGTGACAACAGTGGATGTGTTATTGAATTTCGTGGATTAGTTTTAGTTAGACATTAAGTCCATTGAATGCTGGCTCAGTGGTCTATTTGGCTAAGCGCTCGCTCACGAGAATGATAGGTCCTGTGTCCGAATCCCGTGAGGTGGTGTGGTCGTGGATTAGTTTAATGATTAGATTAATTCTAGTTAAATCTTTAATAATTGTAAGGAAAATGTTTCAAGTCTTAATCAAATTTCTGACAATATCATATCAGATGTTATTTGTAGTAAAGGTGTACTATACCACCAACTGAGTGGTTAACGTATAAACTGACTGAAGTTCATGAATTATGCATAAGGAGTTATGGTTAGGTTTTTCATCAATAAGTGACATCAACTATAATGTAAGAACTAATTACTTATTGACAACTGTTAACCCTCGTCGAGAAACATGAGATACCTACTAGCATTCTTCATTCAACTTTGTCCTGGGCAATTGTTTCCAGTCGTTTCCAGTTGATATTCATTCTTTTCATGTCTGTTTTCAATTCTCAGTGGAGTGTGTTCTTTGATTTTCCTCTTTCTCATTTCCATTCAAGATTCAAAGTCAACGCTTGCAACATGATGCAGTTTCATGATTTCCGTAATCTATTTCATATTCATTTCTCATGTCTTTTCCTAATTTACTCTTCAGCTGGTAGTTGGTATGTTCTCTTTCAAAGTAGTTTGTTGTTGATAGTATCCTTGTTGTTCATCGATGATATTGATCAGGTACGTGAAAGATTCCACATCCTCCAGAGGTTCTTCATCAAGTGTGATTGGATGTGTGTTCTTCGTGTTCTATTTGAGGATCTTGGTTTTTTCCCTCGTGTATGTTAAAGCCTACTGATGCAAAAGCCATTGCTACACTACCTGTTTTCACCCACAATTGTTGGTATATATGGGATAGAAGAGCATGGTCATCTAGAGTTACTGCCGGTCCCATGCCCGGGTAAAGGAAGAGTGTTGTGCATGGGGTAAACAACCCCATACCGTAGGAAACAATCTTGATAGAAATCGCTAACCAGTATAACGTAAAGATCTCGAAAGTTAAATGCTCATTATAAATCTTAATATAATAAATCACAGATCTGTCTTCTCTATCTCCTGACTGGTTAAACGGGATAAGACCCTGACGTCGTTCGGTGAAATATTACAACTTACATTGTTGTTCCTAATGTTACTTATATGAAACTGCTGTTCAATGTGAGAACTAAGTTCTAAGTCAACTGAAATTCGGTTACAGCAAAGTTACTGTTCAATCTGAAGTGGAGTGTTCTCACAGTTCATTTAATTTTAATGAAATCTTAATTCAGTATAAAATAAATGTTCTAAATGAGTCGAGTTCTGACCATATTTCTGATGTTGCATTCATTACTCATGTATGTAAACTAGCACTAAGTATATAGATTACTATTAAATGTGATGGAATTCTCGGAGTTCTAGTGATAAACCGTAACCAGTAGAGATAATCCGTATCTGGTAGAGACAGATATCTACCTCAGTACAATGAAAGTTGGTCGCGCAATTTTGTGGATTAGTTGAATTTAGACATTAACACCATTGGATGCCGGCTCAGTGGTCCAATAGGTTAAGCGTTCGCGTGCGAGACTGAAGTTCCTGGGTCCGAATCTCGCGGGTGGGATCGTGGATGCGCCCTGCTGAAAACCCTCACTATAGGACGTAACGGCCATCTAGTGCTTCCAGATTTTCAATGGTGGTCTAACATCAATCGGTTCATGATCTCAATCAACAACATAATAATCTCCATAACCCTACACTTATATATATTAAAGGTTAATTTCACCGTAGCTCTGTTGTGTTTTATCTTGTAAGTGAATCTTCTAATGAACTTCGCACCAAATTTTTACTGTTTTGTCGATTTGTTATGAAGTAATAACCATCCATTCCTTCATCTATAGTTCAGCTTAAAGCTATAAGACTTAGACTGATTCAGTTTGATGCTTCATAGAATTCTCAATCAACTTAGCGTACAGCAAATCAATGGGAAGATTCAAGTAAAATAATACTAAGTGAATGTAAACTTCACCTTATTGCACAAACAAGTGGCTATCAAGACGTGATGGCATTTAGAGCGAACGATATTGGGTTCGAGTCCCAAAGTAAACATTAACTCTGAAATGCCGGGACATATATCTGATGAGTCCTAAAATAGGACGAAACACGAGTCAAACTGGATTTCATCGCTAATCATTATCCACCTTTCTTATAATACTTGTGAATTAAGGCACTGTATGCACATATGCCAATAAGAGACTGACTGATCGACTGCAGTCCTAAATATCAATGAGAAGATTCAAGTAAACAATACCAACTTCACCCTATCGCACAAACAAGTAGCTATCACGACTCATTATCTAAGTAACTAACACAGTGGCATTTAGAACGAACGATATTGGGTTCGAGTGAAGATCAAATGTGAGATGCAGGTACATCCATCTGATGAGTCCTAAAATAGAACGAAACACGCGTGGAAATGGATTCCACTGCTAACCATTATCCATCTTTACATATAATGTATTATTATAAGCAAGTAAACTAATAACCATATTCATTTACTTTTATACATCTTAGGTGATCTACCTGAAACGTTGGAAAATAGTTAGATATGAAGATTGAATTATTCAATGGTTGTGAGATCTTCTTCAACATTTTCTTCTTCTTCTTCCACTTCTTTCTAATAAACAATCAACAACAACAAGAAAATGTCCCACATTAATATACAATACAGTTTTTGTATTAATGTTAAGTGAGTTTCTCTTTTATTTAAATGATGCGCATGGTTATGATAAATTTTTGTTTTATTGAGTATAATTTCAAGTTAGTAACAATGAGTATCAATTATGATGTTGATATGTTGTTAGGAAACGGGTACTAGATAAGGATAGAAAATCAATTGATGAACCAATGAAACTCCTTAAGCATTTCATCTGACCACTCTAAACAACAATCCAAACCATGTTCGGGATGCGATTCTCCACCTCGAAATGCAAAATGTTACTTTAGGAACGGGTTGCATCGACATCTGAACTAATGATAGGGAGTGAAGCAGTTGAGCGTGTCGACCACTTCATTTATCTTGGGAGTTTCATCAGCCCTTGTGGTCTGGTGTGTGACGAAACCTCAGCACGGATACAGAAGGCTCGACTAGCTTTAGCCAACTTGCGTCATTTATGACGTAGACGAGATATCCGTCTACCAACCAAAGGACAGATTTACTGAGCAGCAGTTCATTCCGTCTTACCTTATGGCTGTGAAACATGGTCAGTATGAGTAGAGAATATTCGTAGATTACTAGTATTCGACCATATGTGTCTTCAAAACACTGCTGGTATATCCTGGGACTATCGAGTAAGTAACTCAGTTGTTAGGAGACGGGTACTAGGTAAGGATGGCAAATCAATTGATGAAGTAGTGAAACTTCGTCAGTTGAGATGGTTGGGACATGTGTTACATATGCGCAACCACCGACTGCCTCGACGTGCGATGCTCAATGGTGTAGAAGTAGGTTGGAAGAAAGCTAGAGGCGGCCAAACCAAAATATGGCATAAATCCATGAAGTCACTGACAAGTGGACTGAGCCATGTTGGTAGGTGTAGACTTGTAGCGTGGCGTCGAGTTGAGATTAACTATGAACACCGCTACTAAGAAACACGTGCCAATTGAATCAAAAGGCGTAAGAAGCTCGTTCCAAATGACTCCATAAAATCCCTGAGAAGCCAAATATCAGAAGGCAATTAATGGACCAAGTCGATGTTTATTTGCTGGCGATCTCGTGGCATCGAAAGGATACCGAGATCGTGCCAGGATACAAGCTTGGTTACAGAACGTAACCGAATCCGCGCGAAGTTACAATCGAAGTGTAAGTACAATAATGTAAGCACAAAATAGCTGTCATTAGCGCAGTCAAACAAAAGCACGTTAAAACAAGCACTGGTACAGTTGGTTATGATAATAATTGTTTTTATTAAACCAGTCGTGTTCTCGTGATAAATGTGAGTCACTACAGACTAGCTAGTTGGGGATCGCGAGATGATAACAACCGATGGCTGGAGACCTTGAATGACATGGTTCAAAATTGTTCACAATGACTCAGGTGCATCCACTAATTTGTATTCTCCCAAATTCTAATCTTCTGAATTCTTCATGTCAGTTCCTTTTTTTTCTTTCTAAATCTATTTCACTGAATTATACTCCTTGAATAACAATTTCGAACCCTAATGTTTCCGATTACTGATTATAGTTTTACTACCTCTACCACTATGGGATTTGAATCGACAACTGCATCTCTGTGGTAATGTGGTATGGTAACTTGAACTGATGTACGTACGTATGAAGTTCCACGTTGTTACTGACTGACTGATATGTAAGGTAATATTATACTAATCATGAATTGTTTAAAATCTATAAAGGAATACAAATGAACTAATCTGATTAAGGTTAAAACAAATTTCTTATCTGAATCAATTCGTACAGTTTTTTTACAGTAAGGTTTCTCATGAAGTTCCGGTTTTATCAGTCACTTCATTAGTAACTAAATCGTATTGTGGATAAAGGTAGATGAACGGTTCAGTAGTAAAATATTTTAGATAAGTTATTTTGTTTTATTGTTGTCTAGTTATATGATGAAACATATAGAACGATCAGATTATGGTTAGTAGTAGAATTCATTTTGATGTGCGTTTCGTCCTGTTTCGGATTCATCAGCTGGGTGTACTTCCATCGCAGAGATGATATTCACTCTGGGACTCGAACTCAGTACCGTCCACTCTAAATGCCATCGGATTATCCATTTAGAACAATTATTGAATGTTTATTTTGTTATATAATAAATGTTTTATTCAAATGATCACTTGTATTCCTTCTTATTTCTTGTTTTTATCTTTTTCTATCTACTCTCCATTCTGTTAAAGACAGTTAAATTTTCTATATTCAAAAGAAGATATTCCATTAGTTCATAAAATTATTAATTATTGCATAGGGTCAGGTTTTCTGACAATGATCAATGAGCTTGATATAATCGATGAACTACCATTTATTGACATATTCCAAAATTATTCACATCTTCCTTTAGACCTTGAATATGTATCACCATATAATTCTCATTCCTTGATCTTCTTTGTCCTTATTGAAGGTTTCCATACAGTGGATATCATATCTTCAAAATAATGTTTTCAACATTGTGATAATATTTTTTTATATTTCGATGATTAGATGTTATTTTCAGACCCTATTTCTCCTGTAACTAACTAGTACATTGAAAGGATATTCATTTTGTGAAAGTTTACGCCATTCCCTTGAAGTGACTATATATATATATATATAATAAGAAAAGAACCAGATCAAATTCATGATCGATTTAATATCTTGATTTAGCGTGATTGATTTAGCATTACGGCTATAGTAACCAATAGTTGAAAACTGTGGGTGACATTACTGAGAATTGATCACAATGGCCTAGGTGTATACACACTTTGCCTTCCTTCAAACTGTGAGATTAAAATTGCTTTATATCTTTCTTTTTACGAACTAATTGTTTATTGCTATGCTATATCCTTATATGCAATCTTTCTTTTATATATTACTACCATTGAATTAACTACTTCTATGAGTTCAGTGTTCATCTTATTGTGCCAATGAGATATGGCAACTTGGACCGATTCATATATGTGCCTGATCCTACGTTGTAGCTGACTAACTGATATACTCCCCCCTCCAAAAAAGTGATTATATCTTCTATTCACTAGTGTTTAGTGAAAAAAATTCCAACAATTATTTGGTTTCTAAAATCATCATTTATAATTTTAAGCCGTGATCATTAAGTATTTTGATTGAGATCATGAACCGATTGATGTTAGATCATCATTTAGATCCTAGAAGCACCAATTGGTTCGTGATCTCAATCAATAACTTGATAATCTTCATAACCCTGTAGTGATAATTACCATGTCCTCATTATTGACTAACTTCGTGAGGGAATTCTCAGAGTTTCTAGTGAGAAACCGTGACCAGTGTAGCTAATCCATGTCAGATGGAGACAGGTATTTACTTCAGTACTATAGATGATCGCAAAATTTCGTAAATTGATTGAGGTTAGAAATTGTTACCGGCTCAGTGGTCTAGTAGGTTAATCGTTCGTGAGCTAGACCGAAGGCCCTGGGTTGGAATTCCACGAGCGGAATCGTGGACACACACTACTGAAGAGTCCTATACTAGGACGAAACAGCCGCCTAGTGCTTCCAAGTTTTTAGTAGTGGTCTGATATCAATCGGTTAATGATCTCAATCAAAAACTTATTGATCAATACAATGTTCTTTTTCTGTTTACATTTATCAAAAGATCTATTTATATGATATTTACAATCTGTAAATTTAATGTAGATTAATTTCAAGATTTGTATATCGTGCTCAAAGCAAGTAATTACCGTTTGGAATGTCGAATCATTATCTAAACAAAATAATAAAAATATTCATCTGAAGTTTCATTTGAAACATCTATTTAAAATATAAATAATTCACCAGGTTATTCATTCATGTATTTATTTATTTGTACACATGAATATTAGTACGAAGGTGCACCGAATCCATATGCGCCACGCAAGTCAGTTGATTTGTATGTGGTCTGTGATACTGCCCGGATGCTCAGACCGAAGCAGGTGATTTCCTCAGGAAGCCACGTCCAGAGGTTTCGACCTAAATGCTTAATCCACGAGGCAATGGAACAACGTACAGAGATGCAGTCCTATGGTCGATGATGACTAACCATTTGGTTCATACGCCATTTGTTCCTTCAGGATACTGGAGCCAGCCTATGTGCTCCATTGGTTTGAAATCAGAGTTTTCCAACTCCCTTAGGTGGATCCTCCATATCCACCAACCCGGTTAAAGCACCGGACATTCGCATTTCGTTCTCTCAATTTCTTAAACAACAACCCCATTGTGAGAAGGCAGTGAGTAGGACTTCCTTGTATGCAAACGTATATCAGTCAGTCAGCCAACAGAAACTGATCATATAAGCTTGATTTGTACTAATCTATTAGCTCTAAAGAGAATTCTTAATAAGTTACTATTCATTAACTAATGATATAAATGAAATTTCATGTCAATATAATAAGATCTTATATAGTGTATATCACATTGATGGCTATGATATACAACTATTGGTATTTATTGATTTTACATGTTTGACTAGAATACCATTGAAACGGTAATTTATGGACGACTTTTAAGTGACTCTAGTGAATGACCATGAAACTGTTTATCTAACAACTAAGATTAAATGAGGGGTTATAAATCATAGTGAGAAATTAGAATTATGATTTACAATGGATGATTAAGATTAGAAATTCGATTTGGGGCCGGTGGGGGGGGTCATCACTAAATGACATCAGTTATGAATCCATTTAACCAAATGAATGAGTGAATGTCGTGTTAAAATCCAAGACCTATTATCTTATATCTGATCGATTCGTCCATAAATTCTAGTCTCATCTTCTCCTTTATTAGTTTCTATTCAATAATGATACAGTGGATTATTGATTAATTTTTTTTTTATAATAATTTTGTTATAGAATTCTTTTCTTCTTCAATTGACTAGTTCAAAGAATGTATCCATTCTCTGTATTCAATCCAACTTCAATGAAATACATACATATCATAAAAACATATACTAATAGTTGAGATGGTAATTTTTTCGAAGTTTCGTTCAATGATACCTATTTATTTACTTACACCTGTTACTCCTCGTGAAGGAGTATAGATCGCCCATCAGTACTCATCATCATCATCAACATCTAATCTTATCCTGGGCAATTTTCTTCAAATGATACTTGGTACTTTGTTTTGATTTATAAAAGAATTCAAGATCAACAATTCCATCGTTACTATTATACAATGTACAACCTTTGATACTTTTATTTTTCGAAGATTTTGCATTTTTGTTTTCTACACATAACTATTGATATTTTCTTTCATTATTTATTTATATTTCAGTTTATGCTTTCACTGTATTATTAACAGTGATTTCATATGTTATTAACAAGGGTTTTCATATATGATGAATTGTTGTATAATTACATAACAAACTACTTATAAACTACTTATATACCATCGAATATAAGTTTATATGTATATCATGTGTCTGTGAGATCAATTTTCAGTATTTCACCCTCCCCCCCACATCTCCTCACCTTCATCAATGTAATAAATCGTTGAAAGGATTTCGTCGAATAAGTATGAATTTCTTCAGATGTTTATTGTTTGTTTTATGTTTATTAAAGTGTGCAAATATTAACATTATCATCAATGTAATCATTACCTAATAACTTATGTGTTAAACTAATACTAACTGAAGAAAGTTACCAAATTCAAGTGTGTGTTTTTTTCTATATGAAGAACATTTAGTTTGGTTTTATTTTTTATTCAGAAAGATCGTCATATCAATATATTTACTATCTAACATTACAATTATGGAAAACTTCTAGTGTTACAAGGGATTATTATGGTTAGAAACTAATTTTAGGACTCAGTAGTTGAGTGAATAACGCGCGATGGCGTTTGAGGGGAATGGTACTGAGTTCGAGTCCCAGAGTGAACATCAACTCTGAGATGCAGGTACATTCAGCTGACGAGCCCTAAATAAGACGAAACACGCGTCCTGGATTCCACTGCTAACCACTATCCATCATTGTTTACAAATAGCTTGTGAATTAAGACAATATCGAGGCATACGCAGAGTATGCAAATATGCCAATAACAAACTGATCAATTGCAGTCTTAAAGCTCAATGGGTAGATAAAAGCTAAACAATACCAAGTGAACTTAATTCTAGTCAAAATGTGAGACTTAAAAACTGAAACTACTTATAAATGTTTATAAGTAGTTGGCTGTTATACTTAAAATTAATCTGTTAATATTATATTGACTTGTCCGATTATAGTAAATGAAATATTTAAAAAGTTTTCTGATGATTATAAGAACAAAAAAAAAGTAATTCTTCTGATTTAGACTGAAGTTAAGTGGATAAAAATAATAAACCAATCAGTCGAAATATATCACAATCAAGACATATTCTACAGTAGCAGAAGTAGTATCTGTATCAGTGGCAGTAGAAAAGATTAATATTCATTAGATATTAGAAGCCGATAAAAAGTCGATCAAATCAAGTTTAGGATATCAAACACTAGAGGCTATTTCGATGGTCTAAGTATATCACACGCATTGAGTGATCTAAATAATTTGAGTTCCATTTTGTTGAGATTTCAGTTATGACAGATGAGAAGTCCTAAACCAAAAGAAAAGACATAATCACGAGAGTTTAAGCATATCGGGTGTGAGGTGGTTACAAACAAACGGTATTGGAAGATGATTTAACGATAACATAAATTTAGTGAACTTGGAAATGTAAACCACTATATGTCGACTCAGTGACATGAAAGGCTTATTATGAAACCAGGAAAGTCCTATACTTGATACTGAGATTGTGGGAACAATGTATTAATGAGTTACAGGCTAAAACAAAACAGCTTTCCAGTGCGTCGTAGTAGGAAAATTAGCTGTATAGAGCATGCATCTATCAGTCTATCACAGCTAATTTGTCTTAGTCTTAGAGACGCTACAACTCTGCAGAATGACACTTTATCAAACATGGGTTAGAAAACAAACCAGTGTTTATATTGTTTTCTGAGATAAACCTAGTTATTCTTAAATGAACTGCTTTCGTTTGCTTCTTCAATAACCTCCTTTCATTTATTTCTTAACCAGATTATCGTTTCATTCGTGTGATGCAATTTTCGGTGTCCTAACGTATCAAAATTTATGTATATTGATTAAACAAACCAACAAAATATTATAGAATCCAACCACCAATCAGCAGTATGATAAGACGATCATTTTATGATAACAATAATAAAAGACGTATCCCTGAAACGGCTAAATGACATCAGTTCAGCGATATCCAATTCTCAGTGGTTCAATAGCTGATATCAGTACATTTACTATAAGTAATATGTACTGTCGGTTATTATGTTAATCCCATATAAACCTTATTCTAGCTTTCGGACAAGCTAATCTGTTCATTCTCCTTGATTTACATTTTGACCGCGTCAATTATTTGCTTATCAATTTTGACAATTTTTATCTGAACGCATATGTGTGTGCTCTTCTTATCCCATTCATTACATATCTGTAGCTTAATTTTGTGTGACTAGAAATATTGATTAGTCAGAATACAGTGGTCTCGAGTGCTGTTACAGGTGTGAGGGCGGTTATCACTTCCCGGTCGCCCACACCGTGGAAGGGTTCTTCTGGAGGTGCCTGAAAAGGAAATTGAATTAAAGGTGGTCTTAGTGACCTGAGAGCGTGGCCGCAGTGCACAAGGGAGAACTGCTTGAGGTCGGTCACACACGACCTTTTTATGAGTAATTTTCGTGTTATCTCCGTACTTGTTGAAACCTTATCACCGGAGACGGATATCCGTGGGATAAGGCGAGGTGTGCATTTTTAGGGTCGACCTTTTCTAACTCCACCTCTCCTTGTGGGAAGACAGCATCGCTGTCATGCTGGTTGTCTGAATGAAACACCTTACTGCTGTCACACCTCTGTACAGTCAGCAGTACGATTTCGCCTTCGAACCTTCAGTTTGTTGCTTTTAGTCTTACCGCTCTTCAACCGATCTGTCTGACATGATAGGACCTTGAGGAACAGTTGTTCCAGTAAGTATAGCTCGGTTGCTTCATCACGATAGGCAAGCCCGACCACCACGTCAAGGTAGCAACAACGGTCGGGAATGGTTTGTTTCACATGCTTACTCCACTGCGTGTCATTTCGTTTCGATATCTTCTCTTCGCTTCTCCGATACATTTGTCTGGATTAAAGTTTGTATGGAATATACATATTTGAAATTCATTCTTGTATTGGACTTATTTCATTCGATTATTGATTAACGCGATTTAAGTCGATGAAATATACGAGGATATGTGACATATATAATATTTCGACAGCAACCATTCAATAACCAACATTTATACGATCGAATTAGAGTCAGATTTCGGGCTATTTATCAGAATTTTTCATAATCATATAGATGCATTCACTCTTTTGATTCTTCATTCGATCATGAGCGATAGTAGTATTTCTTTCATATGTAACCCTCCACTTTGTTATATTTGAACCTTATTCTTAATGATTGCTTTTCCCAGTGTCATTGTTACCACACTATTTATATCTCTTCACCTGCTCACTTAGTTAATCATATTATCGTGCTAATATGATACATAACAACTTAGAACAAGACAAATCTGTATCAGGTTTTATGTTGATGACTATAGGTCTGTAACTTATTTCCTAAGCAGAGATGAATGAATTCGACTTTAAAGGATAATTCATATGTGAAAAGTATTAAATACTACTTGAACTGAATTATAAATAGAATAGAACTTGAAACTACAACCTGTATGGTTGATAAACTATGTGTATTAACCATCAAACCATCAGGATATAAGAGAATGATTGTATATCAGTTGATGAGGTTGTGAATCTTCATCGACTGAGATGGTTGGGCTATGTGTTACGTATGCCTGAACATCGATTACCACGACGTGCAATATTGACCAGTATTGGAAACGGTTGGAAGAAAATTAGAAGCGATCAAACCAAAATGTGGCATCAGTCCACGGAGCCACTAACTTCTAGTGTGAGCCATATTAGTAGATGCAGACTACTTGATTGGGGTCCGCATGACCATCGTAACGAATGGTTGGAGACTGTGTGTGACATGGCTCAGAATCGATCACAATGGCGTCAGTGTATACACTCTCTGTCCTCCCTTAAACTAAGAGATTAAAATCGCTTCATGTCTTTCTACAAACTAATTCTTTCTTCCTGTACTATGTCATTATATGCAATCTTTCTTTTATATATTACCACCTGTGAATTAACTACTTTTATGAATCCGGTGTCCATCTTGTTGGACCACTGCATCTATGTGCCTGGTTCTACGTCGTACCTGGCTGACTGACTAACTAGACAACACTGTGCCACTACTCAACACAAACCATCCAATTTACAAAGATCATCCTCTTTCATCAAATATAAACAATCTTCTAATTCATTCTTCGGTGTGTTTTTTTTTTAAACATGAGATCATCATAATAACAAATAATACATATACATGATAAATTGATTTCAGAAATGGAATAGTAATGATAAAATTACTATTTTTTATTGAAGAAATTTGTAATGGATTGTACACCTTTTGGAATTTTCGCTTTCTTTATAGTTGACTAGAAGAAATAATTTGAAGAGAAAAAACAAAACAAAATTAAACAGAATACTACTGTTGTATTAAATAAATTAACTAATCTTAGTTATACTATCATTTAGAACCTGAAAGCATTGAATGTCCGATTCGTTCTAGAATAGGACTTTTCAGAGGTTTTGTGTATCCATAATCTTGAACCAGAAAATCCAACACAGAACATTCAATCTTAACCTCGACTTCACTTAGTCGAAACCCAGTTTTGTGTGTGTGTGTCTGATTTTAGTCGACTCATGATATTGGAAGTAAGCTAAGGGCGGCCAGAACAAAACATGGCTAAAATCCATGAAGTCACTGAGAAGTGAACTGAGCCATATTGGTAGGTGTAGACTACCTGGTTGGGAACTGCGAGATGATAGCAACCGATGGTTAGAAACCTTGAGTGATATCGCTCAAAATCGTTTGCAATGGTGTGCTCAGGTGCATCCACTCTTTGTGGTCTCCAAAATTCTGGTCTTTTGAATTCTTCATGTTCGCTATTTTTCCAATTTCCAAATTTATTTCACCGGATTATACTCCTTGAATAACATCTTCAAACCTTAATCTTTCGAATTGCTGCTTATACTCTTACTACCTCTACCACAATGGGATTTGAATGGACAATTGTATCAGTGTGCTAATGTGGTATGGCAAGTTGAACTGATATATGTACGTACGTACGAAGTTCTACGTTGTTACTCACTGACTAATCTTCTTTTGCCTACGATGAATAACTGTCTCATATTGAACATGGTTAAACTCTATTGACCACAGCTTTTCACTAGAACTTGACTTGTATCTAGAAGTTGATCATTAGTGACTACGTGATTAGAATAAATAAAGTAGGATTTGCGAAATTTGCCCAGTATTAAACACGAATTGAACTTAGCTAGATATATAGAAACACTGGATGGCTATCTCATCTTAGTATAATATAGTGCCTTAAATCGTTCTGTGAATATGACATATACAACATATGCTCGAATGATAAGCAACTGTAAATTACAAGTTTACGATAAAGTAGTTGTCAACTTAGGAATTAATGATTGGTAGTTGTTTAAACGGATAAGATTTTATGTGTATTTGGCTAAAATAACAATAATGGCAACTATACCATCATCCATAAATAACTGAGTGTTAATTATTTACGTCCCATTTGGTAGTAATTAAGTTTGTCTATAAGTAAAAATATTAATTTTATCTACTAATTAGAATAAAAAGGTTTAAAGTAATTTTTTATTTTTTCATTTTATTTTAACACATAGATATTGGTACAAGGAGGCACCAAATACATATGCGCCACACAAATCCCATTCGATATGTGTGAGGGCTGTGATACTGCCCGGGTGCCCAAACCGAAGCAGGTGGTTTTCTTAGGGAACCACACCCTGAGCCTTCGACCTGAAGGTCTGATCCACAAGACAGTGGAGCATCGTAAGGAGATGCGGTCCCACGGTAGCCGGTGACCAACGATTGGTCCACGTGCCTTTTGTTCACGCCGGATACTGAAGCCCATGTGAACCATTGATTTGGAATCCGGTTAAAGCGCCGGACATTCGCTTTTCGTCCTCTCATTTTCGTAAACAACACCCATGGTGCGAGAAGGTAGTGAGTAGGACTTCCCTGGCAGAGGCTAAATACGCGTGGCCATGTGAGAGCATTTCGAGAGGGAGAGCGGACTCTTCTAAATCTCTCGGCCATACCAGGGCACTTCTAAATAGAAATTCTTGAGTTATATGAGGAAAAACAAGGTTGAATAATTAATATTTGTGCAAAGATTTATCAGACCCTGGTTTGGTTAAAGGTGAGGAAAGTCAGCTTTCCCTCTCGAAATACTCTCACATGACCACATACATACAACCACTGACATGGAAGTTCTACCCACTGCCATCTAGCGGCAGAGTTGTTATTTACGAAATTTAGATGAAGAAAAGTGATTGTCTGGTGCTTTAACCAGATTGGTGGATATGGAGAATCCACCTGAGGGAATTAGAAAACTGTACTTTCAAACGAATAGTGGATATGGGCTACAGGATCCTAAGGGAACAAATGACGTTAAACCTATTGTTAGTCGCCGACTACTATAGAATAGCATCTCCCAACGTTACTTCACTGCATTGTGGGTGAGATATCTAGATCAAAGGCTCAGGGAGTGACTTCTTAAGTAAATCACGTGCTTCAGTTCGGCCGACCGGGAAGTATTCAAGCCCTTACAAAAACTGAATTAGTCTGGTATATATATATTTGTTTGGTGCCTTTTTGTACTAATATATTTAAATAAATGCTTTTGCATTTTGTTTTTATTCTCTTAGTTTTTCTACGCATAGATACCTCTTTACTATGTTGATATGAATTGTGGTAAATCATTCTCTTACCCTTAGTAATTTTATATAGCTCTCTAATCATTATAACTCCGCCTGGAGTCCCTCCGGGGGCTACTGCCGGTCCCAAGCCCAGATAAAGGAGGAGAGTTGGGCATGGGGTTAGCGACCCCATCCCGTAGAAAACTAACACGCTAAAAAAACGCTAACCAGAGAAAAAAACATTATTCAGTATCTCCCAGGTCAAAGAAAAAGAAAAAAAGAACAGAATGAGATTTACAAAACAACAACAACAACATACCTGATTGATCTTTGATTCATTTAACTTTAATGCTGAAGAATAGTCTTCTTTGGGTTGATAATTTTTCGACTTATGTAAATATTAAAACATAAAGTGAATCAAACAATGACTTATATAAGATGAACAGTACGGTAAAAAGTTATTAAATTATTTAAAAACGGTCAACTAGGTCATGATCTAATAAGATTATATTAATGTCACCAAGAAGAATGATGGTGGTACGTTATAAAGTACTTTAATAATCATTGTATTTTTAGTTAAGAGCTTTATGATAGCCAAAGACTCTGGAGGAACAAATGGAGTATGAACCAATCGCTGATCACCACAGTTACCATGGGACTGTATCTCCTAGCGTTGCTCCACTGCATTGTGCATCAGACCTTTAGGTTAAATGCTCCAGATGTGGCCACCATCTAAGAAAACCACCTGTTTCGGTTTGGGCACCCAGGCAGTAGTATCACAGCCCTTACACAAATTGAACGATTTACGTGGCGCATATGTATTTGGTGCCTCCTTATATCAATATTTATGTGTTCAAATAAATCAATAAATAAATGTGATTAAAATTTGGGTTATTTAATCATTGAGCCCTTAGTCGGTTGGCTATGAACAACAATCATGTTTCTAAGTTCAACAATCGTTATTACAGAATTTTATTGAGGTCTCACTCACCACTACAGATAAACAGTTTAAGAATTCCAGATAAAAAAGGGTAAAATAGGGAAAAAAGATGAGAATATACTTCTCTTAAACAAAGAAAGTAGCCATTCATGTATTTTGAAACTAACAACATTACGATATTGTTAAGAGCGAGTTACATTTGAATATTGAGTTAGATTCCCATAGCTTAGTGAAAAAGAAATAAGGCGAAACTCTAATTTATGGACGACCTTTGAACGAACCTTAAGTGACCTTGAGAAATATCAGCCAATCAGCACACAGTCAACATAGAGTAAAAACATATTATTATACAAAACCATGGAAATAAAGTGGATACACTTCTTAGACGTAGTTCAAAAACTTGTCAAGGTTAGAAAGAGGTTCAGAGGTCCTAACATCGCAACGCATGCAGTAGAGGAAATCATCCATATGTCTACAGAATAGTCAGCCTCAGGAGCCATGATAAAGTCTCAAAAACTATTTCAGCCTCAACCGCATAACTTCAATATTGTTTATGTGCACTCCGGTTGTTGAGTACACGAAATGCTACGTGTGGATAACGACATGATGCACATAATCAGGCCTATGTAGAAGTCTGTACGCTCTTCAATCATCCGTACATATTGTAGTACCTGGCTTCAGCCAGTGTTACTGGTGCTTTTATTATCCAGTTCGCAATAATTGTCGTAATTTGCATTAGTTAGGAATTATATATCGGGTTTTCATCACAAACTGACATCAGCTATAATGCCAGAAATTTATTTAGCCAAATGGATGAAAGGTTTTCGTACCGAACTCCGAGATCTATTATCTTATACTTGAATGATTCGTCCACAAACTATAGCCTCGCCGTTTTATTTGTTATAGCCGCTCAATTATCACGTTTTCTACAAAATTCCCTGTGAACCGATCGTACGTTAGCATTAAGCACTGAAGTTGGCGCTGTAACCTTGAAATCTCTCAAACGTTTCTGATTGACTCGACCATAAATTAGAATCTCACCGGAAATAATTTTCTTTGTTTTTATAATAAAATCAACTTACATTCAATGACTTCTGGATAGATTTATCATCAATAGGATCTATATTTTCAGAGGAATTCATATCTGGTAAATTGAATTCAATCGTTTTTAATCCAATTTTTTCTTGAAGCTTAATGTATAAATCAGGTGAAAGATAATCAGCTACTAATTGATAGGCTAAATGTAAACATGTTTGATGTGACAATTGATTGGTTGATAATATTTCAGCTTCTTTGGAACCTAATTTACAGAATACAAAACATTAATGATGAAGTTTATTGATAACTATCTTTTAACGCTATAAGTAATTTATAATTGTAGTAACAAAGAAAGAAATAAATATTTGTACTAAATATGCTAGTTATTAAGCCTGTTTCATCTCTTTTAAGCATAAAGAGCATCCATTTATGTAAGGTGATTCTTGAATGAACAAGTATAAGATCCATCACTCCCGACCGTTGTTGCTACCTTGATGTGGTGGTCGGGCTTGCCTATCGTGATGAAGCAACCGAGCTATACTGGCAGGAACAACCGTTCCTCAAGATCCTACCATGTCAGACAGATCGGTTGAAGAGCGGTAAGACTAAAAGCAACAAACTGAAGGTTCGAAGGCGAAATCGTACTGCTGACTGTACAGAGGTGTGACAGCAGTAAGGTGTTTCATTCAGACAACCAGCATGACAGCGATGTTGTCTTCCCACAAGGAGAGGTGGGGTTAGAAAAGGTCGACCCTAAAAATGCACACCTCGCCTTATCCCACGGATATCCGTCTCCGGTGATAAGGTTTCAACAAGTACGGAGATAACACGAAAATTACTCATAAAAAGGTCGTGTGTGACCGACCTCAAGCAGTTCTCCCTTGTGCACTGCGGTCACGCTCTCAGGTCACTAAGACCACTTCTAATCCGATTTCTTTTTCAGGTACTTCCAGAAGAACCCTTCCACGGTGTGGGCAACCGAAAAGTGATAACCGCCCTCATACCTGTAACAGCACTCAAGACCACTGTATTCATAATCACATATACGAAAAATACTTAGAGTTATGACAAATCAGTGAGTCAGTTACGACGTAGGACCAGGCACATGTATGCATCGGTCCAAGTTGTCACACCTCATCAGCACAGCAAGACAAACACCGGATTCATAGCAGTTAACTCAATGCTGTAATATATAAAGGAAACATTGTATATAAGGATATAGTACAAGAAGAAAGAGTTAGTTCGCAGAAAGAAAGATACAAATCACGTGCTACACGTCATGTTGTGCATAGTTCCTGTCAAGTTAATACAAGAATACAGCATGTTATACAGAATAAAACAACACTCTGGAAAACAAAACAGATACTACACTGAGTAATAACACACTGAATCTAAAAGGAAGTACTATTGAACAAAATTCACAATGAGTAGAAAAATTTGATGTTGCCCTTTTATCCCGTCATAACAATTCGATTCAATGGATGATTGCTAACGCCTTTGTGAATATTACTGTCTCAATTATTCCTTAACAAGTGGGACTGTCATGCATAGAATTTCGCCATTTTTGCAGAAGTACTGTTCATTTCGATCGTGCGAAGTACATGCTGCTGGTCCAATTCAAGTAGCCTGTATGTCATAGCATATGAAAACAATACAACCTACATACTCTTGGATGATATGTCTTTCCCTACATAACAGGTCTACATCAAAAACAAACACTTAGTTGTTCCCAGAATATAATCTATAAGAAAACTAAAGATTAAGTGATATTGATTAGCTTTGGTTACAACATGTTCGGAATAGTGAAGGGGTATGGCTGTATATCTTCAATGTGTTGTGAAGCTATCATTGTCGTTCTATTAGTTTGACAGAACAAGCTATTAGTGATTCGTGGAGAAATCCTGATGCCTCACTCTTATTTGGAGCTTGTGCTGATAATATCTAGAAAGAATATGAGTTTCATGATTAAACCAACCAAGCTAGGAAAACAATCTATCAAAATCTTCATGAATAAGAAGTCTTTACCTTCAATCTACCAAAATTTCGTTAATGAGAGTGATATTTTTAGATAAGGAGTTTCAAAATTGACCTCTTAGACTAGTAACAAGCGGTCTTGAAAATGAGAAATGAAACGGTTGGTGGTGTCAAACACACTTGTCAAATCCACTAAATTATATAGAGCAGACAGCATTTTAACAACACGCTGAGACATCCTAAGATTGTTAATTAGTATCACATATACTTTAAGCAATTTGGTTTCCTAAATCAGTGAGTGCCACAAATTAAAACATAATTACTAATTGGTTATACGAGTTGAGGTATCTCGTTTGAGTTATATAATATCTGGGTTTGGGTACGCTTATTTAGGGATAAAATTCACTGACTGAGGTTTATTGTCCTATTGACCGTCGTATATTTAGTCACGAGAGGATTTGGTGTCAAAAAAATGAAAGGGAGGTTTAAACCGTAGTTAAATATGCAACAAAGAAATTATTTGTGGATAAAACAACAAAAATTTTGAAAAACTCTTACTAGAAGTAAATTCTGGAACCCGTGAATCTTCACTTTTTCCATCGTACTGATCAGAAGACGAACTAGTAGCAATTAATCGAAGCTGAGAAACTAAAACAGGATTCTTGCAGTTGTAGGAAGCCTTATAAACAGCAGATACTCTATTCGACAACCACTCGATCGCCTTAGATTCATTTAACCGATAAACAGATAAACTACCGATACCTTCGAAAAACAAATGGTCAAGATACATAAGCATTGTCAATACAAGTTCATAATTTGTAGTTTGTGAACTAAAACAGTTTTTCTGGTTTACTTTATAAATGCGCTTCGGTATGCAATAAAGCCGAATGAATTGCACACTATGTAACATATATTTTCGACTAGCCATTAAATGCAGTACGAACCTCAACAAACAAAATGCGATAAACTCTAACCCTTTACTATTTAAAACAATTAGTTCCTTTGATAAATTTCGATAATGATATTAGAAGACGAAGATTATCAGAACTATGTGATATATTAGCGCAATACATTTCGAACAATCTGGTCACACATAAGATACTTGTTAAGAGCATTTATATATAAAAATAAAAGGTCAACTAGACTGGAAACGGGGTAAGAGGAGATAAGGCTAATAATAATAAGAGTAATAATAATAATAATAATGTGAACACAAAGCGAAACCTAATCACTCTGGATAATAAGTCAATATTACCAGGGTAGGTTTAAGGTAAGAACAAACTGTTTTTGAACAAATAAAGGGGGTTAGGATTTTCGTATGGCTAAGGCTTTCATAAACCTTAGTATACGCCCTTTTACACTTTTATACAGCACTACAAAAGCTGAAATTAGACCAATCTTGTGACCTGTTTCAGTTATATGTTTAGCAATAGAGGATGATGGATGTTTATCCTCTGCTCTTATTGGGTCACTTGATTGTATTTGTTTCTGAAGCCATTTGGGTACATGTTCACTCACTCCTCCCTAAGTATGTGTGACCACACACACATTTAAATTGGTAAACACAGTGGGATGTGACGCAATCGTTTCCATGTACTTTAGGTTTTGAATGAAGCATGCACCTTGTTCTTTCTTTGATGATGACCTTTGCTGCGCAATAGGTTTTATTGATGACTGATTTAAGTCGTTGTTTCAATAAAAGGCTATTTGAATCACCTCTGAATGGTAAGGTGATGTAGACAGGCTTTTTCTCTACCGAGGCTACAGTAGGTCTCGCTGTACCATGGACTTTCCATCTATTTATGAATTTCAGAGGATAGCCATTTTCTATTAACGTTTTATTTAACAACTTAACATCATCATCAATGGCGTCATCGGTACAAATACGGTCGAGTCTGTTGAAAAGACACCTTATCAAACCACGTTTGTATTGCACACGTGATTGAAAGTTGTTTTCAGATATGTAATCACATAATATATCAATGGTTTGTTTAAAAGGTATATTTGTAAACAAGGAATTTACATCAAATGAACACATTGTCTTTTCCTTGATATTAATATCATCTAAATGATCAACCAGTTCAAAAGAACCCTTTAGATGATATTAATATCAAGGAAAAGACAATGTGTTCATTTGATGTAAATTCCTTGTTTACAAATATACCTTTTAAACAAACCATTGATATATTATGTGATTACATATCTGAAAACAACTTTCAATCACGTGTGCAATACAAACGTGGTTTGATAAGGTGTCTTTTCAACAGACTCGACCGTATTTGTACCGATGACGCCATTGATGATGATGTTAAGTTGTTAAATAAAACGTTAATAGAAAATGGCTATCCTCTGAAATTCATAAATAGATGGAAAGTCCATGGTACAGCGAGACCTACTGTAGCCTCGGTAGAGAAAAAGCCTGTCTACATCACCTTACCATTCAGAGGTGATTCAAATAGCCTTTTATTGAAACAACGACTTAAATCAGTCATCAATAAAACCTATTGCGCAGCAAAGGTCATCATCAAAGAAAGAACAAGGTGCATGCTTCATTCAAAACCTAAAGTACATGGAAACGATTGCGTCACATCCCACTGTGTTTACCAATTTAAATGTGTGTGTGGTCACACATACTTAGGGAGGAGTGAGTGAACATGTACCCAAATGGCTTCAGAAACAAATACAATCAAGTGACCCAATAAGAGCAGAGGATAAACATCCATCATCCTCTATTGCTAAACATATAACTGAAACAGGTCACAAGATTGGTCTAATTTCAGCTTTTGTAGTGCTGTATAAAAGTGTAAAAGGGCGTATACTAAGGTTTATGAAAGCCTTAGCCATACGAAAATCCTAACCCCCTTTATTTGTTCAAAAACAGTTTGTTCTTACCTTAAACCTACCCTGGTAATATTGACTTATTATCCAGAGTGATTAGGTTTCGCTTTGTGTTCACATTATTATTATTATTATTACTCTTATTATTATTAGCCTTATCTCCTCTTACCCCGTTTCCTCCCCCTCGAAATGCTCTCACACGGCCATGCGTATACAGCCTCTGCCAGGGAAGTCCTACTCACTAACTTCTCGTGGCGGGGATGTTATTTACGAAATTGAGAGGACGAAAAGTGGATGTCCGGACATGGGCTCCAGTATCCAGCGTGAAAAAAATGGCGTACGAACCAATCGTTGGTCACCGGCTTCCATGTGACTGCATCTCCTTACGATGCTCCACTGCCTTGTGGGTCAGACCTTCAGGTCAAAGGCTCGGGGTGTGGCCCCCTAAGAAAACTACCTGCTCCGGTCTGGACACCCGTGCAGTATCACGGCCCACAGCGCCGTCTGGCTACAAAAGGTCGGATCTACAACGCGTCGGTGAGAGTAGATTTGCTCTATGCTTATGAAACCTGGGCTCTCCGAGTTGAGGATGTTAGACGACTCTCTGTGTTCGATCATCGCTGTCTCCGAAGGATTGCTGACATCCAGTGGTAACACCATGCTAGTAATATAGAGGTTAGGCATCATGTGTTCCGGCGATAATCCAGTTGGTGTTACCATTTTGAAACACCGACTTCGGTGGCTTGGGCATGTTCTACGAATGTCGTCCCAGAGAATTCCGTGTGGTGCATTATTTGCCGACGCTGAGACTGGTTGGAAAAAGCGGAGAGGTGGTCAGTACATGACATGGTGTCGTGGTATGAAAGAAAGCTGCAAAGGACTGGCTTCTGTCGGTCCTTCACGACTCCCTGGTTGGGGTCTGAGAGATGGTGCAACACAGTGGCTAGGGACGTTATCAGATATGGCTCAGAATAGAAGCCAGTAGTGATCCTGCTGTAACGTTCGTTTACCTTCTTCATAAAAAGTGGATGTATCTTCCTTAACTGAAAGATTTCCTCTGGTTTTACCTCTCCGTTTCCCCCATTATTATTATTATTATTACACTGCCTTACACTAATCTGTGGTCGTTATTGTTCTTCTTTTTTTCTTTTACGCTCCTTACCTTACTTTTTCTCTCTTCCCATTCTCACTGTTTTGTGCGGCGCATATGTATTTGGTGCTCTCTTGTACCAATATTTATGTGTTCAAATAAATAAAGAAAAACTAAGTAAATGCGAGATTAATTTGGCTACATACAAGAATCCAAGAATAAAAAGTACTCAAAGAATAAACTACACGAGATAGAATGGATGAAATCCACTAAAATTCAGTATTTGAGTACATATTCACAATACACACGATTCACGTAAGGACAGATGACATGATACACCAATTAATACGAATACAGGGATTTTCCATAAGTCTCTCTAGAACTAAAACCCTGATCTTAAGACAGCTAACGAGACTAGTGCATAGTGAACAAACTGATATCAAACATACCTACAAATGGTACGGGAACAAAAAGTATTAAAAATGACCTGATTATGGTGCGTAAAAAACCATGTACAGTAACTGCATCTAGTAATTCTTATGAAGAACAATTTTTTAAAGATGGCCATGACTCATGGTGAGAATAAAGACTTACACCTTTTGTCACAAATTTCTTCAAGACGACTTTCCATGTTGGGAATGTTGCTGAAGACATCGAAACATCCACCGATTTCACTCAAAATAGCATCCCATGAAATAAACTTGTCCTAGAAATGTAATTCTCTAAAGTTAAAAGACAAACATTTTTTCTGCAGAATGATATGAAGAAGAAGAGGGGGTCAATTCGATTACAAACGTACATCCCACCATCTACATGTCTTCATATAACAAATATTTAAATATATATACCAGATTTGATATTTTCACCAAGCATCCAAGACCGACATTTTTCGTCGATTTTCTGAATTTCAAAAAGCTCTGAAGACTGACCATCCCACAGATACAAACAAGGTAAATCTAGAAAGGTTACGAGGCCCAAGTCTATCCAAAGAAACGACGTCCTACCTGATCTTGGATGTTTTAGTCTAATTAAAGAACACTTTGAAGGCTGGCATATAACGCTATCTACGGACATATACAATAGCTATGAGAGAAGGTACCTGGAATTAGGAACACAGAGCTACAATCATGCATTTCAAACCACACGGTAGCGCGTAATTGAAATCAACCCCTTAATGCTTCAGCGACCTTGATCGGCCTTCATCAAGGCAGTCACTTCATATTTGAAGTGCACCATGTCAGTGGCGTGTCTGTTGGCTACATCACTGTGGTATTCAAAATTGGTTCAAAGTGGTTCTGGATAAAACAGAAGAAAAACTTGATTAACCGGCTTCCGTATTTAGTAAGAGTGGATCACAGATGCCGCTACGTAAGAGCCTAATAATATTTAATGATAAAAGATAAAAATACTGGTAAGTTGTGTTGAAGTACTGTGTTTTGTTCTTAAGAATGTAGCGGTAAGTAAATCCCAAAGACAAATAGCTCTGTAAGTCTTCGACATTGGATGCTGACCATATTAGTTTTAGTGGACTCACCTAACTGAAGGCTCTCGGTCATGCATCCGCACCAGATCACGAGTGGGAATGCCGTCCTCATCATCCTCTGCAATCGCTAGCCAGATTGAATCAGACGATCCTCCATACATTAACAGCTTATCAAATATATCTTCGAACCTCCTCGCTTCTGTCTTTTGATTTCATTTGGTGGATACGATTCATATTGGGTGTTACTGTTTAAGTGTTGTCGAACTCTAAACACCTTTGGCATCTTCAAGAATATGTCAATTCTCCTAATTAAGGACTCCTGGAAAGTCGCTTAGACTAGCTCAGACGGTAGCGAATTCCACAATTTGACTACTCTCAATGAGTAGCAGGTTTTACTACAGTCCGTCATACTGTGTTGTGCCTCCAGTTTCTTGGTGTTATCCCAAGTTTTGTGTTGGGGCTAAGCTTATTAAGGTGTTTAATGGGATGTCGAGAAGCATTTAGGTTGCTGTACTTCAACGGGTGAAGTTTCGGTTACCGGAAGCAATTTTCCCAAGTCTTAAATTTGAGTACCCGTGTGGAGATAGGCCTGACAAGCTTATTTTGTAAATAGTTTTCAATGTTATTTGTATTCATTTTGTCAACCTTCCACTGTATTTATATTTAACATTAAATGACTGTAACTGTTGTTTTGATAAATGACCTTGAACACCCTTTCCGTTGTTCAACCACGTAGCGTGACATACTCTTGCTGGCTAACAAATACACTACTACTCACATATTCCTCGTTCTATCTTCGTTTGTGATTGAGTTATCTGAAGTCTAAATCAAATACTATTATTATTTACAAACTGTAATTGGAATACATCACATTCTACTTTGGATTATATCACTGGAGAGTTCGTCAACCAGATCAGAATCACCAAGCGTTTATAATTGTGGATTTGCAATACCAGACCCAATCGGAACACGCAACATTTGGTTAATTTAAGTAACGTCCCAAATTTTTTTGTATTTGTAACATTTAATTGGTATATATTGATATTACTATTGATTTTTACTAACTTTGTTGATACCTTTTTTCGTTTATATATCGTCTGGTCCACCACATCCGAAATGATTTTGTGGCTCGTTGTTGGATGAGGTACAGATTGTCGTTATACTTTTGGAGTGAGAGCAGAAAAACAATGCTTCCGTACTCTAAATTGTGACGAATAAAACTGTTAGGGGTTATGTGGAAAGTTCTTCCACTAGAGTGGCAGAAAATGAGCTTTAACGTTAACAGTACGAGGATTTTTCCAAAGGCGTTTTTGTCGCAGTTAGCCTGAGACTTCAAGTGGCAGGGCACATGCACTCAAATCTTTCTCACCTTGGGGTACCTCTAGACAGAAGTTGCAAGTTGCACTTGTAGTCTTCAACATGTGTCATATGGACTACCTTACTAATCGATGTATTAGAGATAAGCCTGTTGTCATCTGCTCAACTTTAATGTCGAGACAGATCCTCCTGAATTGGTTGCGTAAGTCTCCAAAGTTTCACATCATGGCCAAAAGGTAACAAATCTCGCGATAACTGCTAGGGGAGGTCGTCTATATAAATAAAGAGGATGAGATTGTAGTGACCTACTTTTATCAAGAGAACGCGATTGGTGTATTGGAAGCAATTACTATTATAACGAATTTTGCCTGTGATTTTTTTTACCGTGCTCGTTTGTTTAATTGTACCAAAACACACCTTCTTCCGTTGACTGTGACCTTGCACCCTCTCGGTTACGCTTGGTAGTTTCACTGGCGCACTATGCGTGTTAGATCTCGGGTTTTCGCGCACGTGTAACATATTGTCGTGGATTTTATGTGTCGTTATTTGTCAGCTATTAACAGCCCTTTCTCCATCATACGTGACTTCTCGTAAACTTTGTGATTGGAAGATAGTTTTTATTTCAATTTATAATCAGTTTGACGTATTTCGTGCCCACCACCTAAGTAAATATGTAGTCGGCGTAATATGGTTATTTTTAACAATACAAAGTCAAACAAGTCAAATCACCATTTTTCTAGTCAAAAATAGATTACAGATTGAGTTTTCATGAAAATAAGCCGTAAAAAGCATTATATATGGTTCACCTCCTTGATAATGGTGACGGCAAACATAGGTATCCGTAGTCGTTTATAAAATGTAATTAGAAAGAAGTAAGCGTTAAACTAACTATGAATATTATATAGATTGTTTGTATTTAGCCATAAAAGGTTATCTGGACTATAGGTAGCATTGATTTGTACTGAAGTGACATATTATTGTGTAACGTATCAGAGAAAAATTATGTGAGTAACAATTGACGTTGATAGTCTTTTTTACCGGCTTTCTGAACGTATACAGGAACATTGTATAACACCACAATAAATAAGCACAAAATCTTCATAAGTAAAACGATGGGTGTCTCTTCTGAGCATGGTGACAAAACCATGTCGTACTTAATACTGATTTATGATGTGTCTGTTAGAAGGTTGACGAATAATTTTCTGTAAACGAAATTCACAATCGCAGACGAAAATGTGAACAAAGTTATGATGCATATTGCCGAGTAATATCTAAATGGTGCTTACCAATTTCTCTTGCTAATACCAGATGTATAGACGAAATACTACAAGGTTAGACACTGAAGAAATTCCCAGTGCTTGTTACGACACAGACTTGAATAAAAAACAACGATTAATGAGTTAATTCATGAATTCCTCCTGCATTACAGACTGACTCGTCCGAAGTAATTCATGCAGACAACGTGACGAAAAGTGAATGAGCAATGGAAGCAGAATCACAAGTTCCTTGTATTCATATCTCCTTTATGCCACATTAATTAATTACATTTTCTTCATAAGTCAGACTACGCTTGTATGTTGTGACGAAACTAACTTCAGCAATTTCTAAATAACACTGATATGTGTGTTGTAAAGATCACCTATTAATTTTTATTAAAGGAAATAGAAATCTCTAACGATTAGCGCTGTCTGCAAATAAGAGACTTATAGGTACATTCTGTCCTGTTATTTGATTGACTTATTGAATGTGATACTGATAACTAAGTCTAATTCTTTATTTCACGACTGATTTGTTGTTTTCCGTATTGCCTAGTAACATTTTTATTCAACTAATGAATTATTGAAATATAAATATAGCAACTACACTCAGTGTCTTACTTTATAAACCGTGTCCGTATTTATTAATAGTCGATATGACGCTAGAACAAATATAGATAGATAATATTATGAACTCCTTATAATCCATGGAATGAACAAGTAATAAGATGGATTATGTAGTAATTCATTTCACTTTTAAAATTTAGTTACCGATTTATTCCAGCACCCTGTCACTTACATCTCACTTAATCCTCTGTAATTATGTGACCTCTTCAAATTGTAGTCAATTATTACGTAACCGAAGTTTTCAGTTCTTAAATCCACGGATCATTTATAAGCTATAAGGTTTTCACACCACTTGTCTGTCTGTGAACTTTAGTCCACTATTACACAACCCATTCTTAATGTTTTATTGACTGTAAAAACAAATGACCTTTGACCTTAAACTGCATATATATATATATATAGTCATTATTGATAACCTACGTCATTTCAATTATTCATATTCAGGTATGTCAACTGTTTCCCACATCACTGTTAAATCCTAATGCATATTTAGTTATAATGAATGCATACCACTGTTAATCAACATTTCCCCTGGTTTCATTTTATTTCATAAGCGGAACTAATCACATGAAATTAAAATCTACTTAGCTACTGATACTATTTTGATGATAAACGTAATCCGACGAAGGTGAATATGATATGTGGGTGCCTAATCTGCAAGACTGCACTTGGATGTAAGGTTTCTTAATCATTCTTAATTATTACAGACAGTTACACATGAACATCATTGCTATTCATTCCCATGAAAGTAGGAATAAGATGAAAATTAAAATTATGAAAAAGTTTATTGAATAATCATTGCTGCTAAAGCAGAAAATCAAGTTTACAAGTTGGTATTAGGAATTCTTAAGTAATAATTGTCCACTTTCTTTTCGACTTTCGTTGCGAAACGTTTACCATACTTCTCAATGATGCGATGCTTATGGATTCTTTGGCTTCGTTGAATACTTATATACACTTCACTCCGTCGTGGTAATGCAGTTAATGTATTATTTTGGAAGTTCTGGGTATTATGTAACTTCCATCTGCTACAATACCTAAGAAGTTGATGAGCTATGCAGTTAGTATTTCATAATTGATATAGCTTACCTGTAAGACTTCTTCTTTTAACGTAGGCAAGTAGCATGTGACGGCACGGATATCGACACATCATAAACGTGCTACAATCGCATTGACAAATGCTTACATCCACTTCATAATGTTGTCCGCGGTCAACCATAAACAACCAGTCGCCGCTTTCATATTCCATATAGACGAAACGCATTTGTTTAAGTTCCTATAACACTTTAGATCTTGCGAATGGGGTCAAAATGTTTAGCAAGGGTATAAGACGCTGTGGAGCATTATATTTATAAGATCTTTCGGCTATCACTTGATCTTCGGTACTTCTTATAGTTGACGTCATTTCACTCCATTTTAAAGCCTTGTACATACATTTGTACAGACTATC